GGTTCCACAGTAGACTGTTGCAGTACATAGGTTCCGAGACGGTATAGGTAGTTGCTCTGATGACAGATGGAAAATATCTCGCAACTGCCAACGTTGAATTGTAGTAAATGTTGGGTTGACAACTGATGTACCGTGCACAGGTCACTTTGAAGCAAATATTGGTCGGCATTCATCTGAATGCTGCGTCATATCTTGACATCGTCGGTGAACAGTAGGAAGTTTGAGGCGATTGCCCGGGCGAATCCGTTAATAAACACCAAACCCAATCGTGATCCTAGAACTGAGCCTTGCGGTACAACACACTCGACTTGTATGGGGTCCGATAATGAGCTCTAAACTCTGACCACCACTTGCAGATAAAGGATAAAATTGACAATCCAACATAGAAGAGGGTCAGCGATCTCGCAATACTGTAGCTTGCAAAGTAATATCCGACGGTATAGACGATCGAATGACCTGGAAAAATCCAGGTAGATCACATCACACAAGTAGATCACATCCTCTCCAGCGTCAGTGGACTCGGTGTAACTAATCCGTGAGATAATTAAATCCGCTGTGCACGATCATAGTCGATGGAAGCCGTGTTGCACGGGAGGATTAAATTCGCAATTTTCTCGACAGCACATCAACGCATCGGCAACGATTGACTCCATAACCATGGACAGTACAGGAAGAAGAGATACTGGATAGTACTTTGAAGGCACAGTTCGGTATCCGTTTTTGTAAATTGGAGTCATTGTTCCTAGCTTGCATATGGCAGGAAACAGATTAGGGTCATAGCAGCGCTGGAAAAATTGAATCAAAGGTCCTGCTAGTTGTTTGCATGCCGCACCCAGTACCTCTAGAGGATTGGTATCGACATCTGGGGAGCTGTAGTTGCACAGTTACGTCAGCGTTTGTAAGACAGCTTCAACAGTAAAAGTGATGCGGGTTAGTCCTGGTGGCGGAGCGAGAAAGGCTGGAAGATTGCTCAATGGAAAGACCCTCGGAAACGTGGGGGCGTGCTGCATCCCCAGCGTCTTTGCTTCTTCTGTAGCCGTTGCTGTTGGGCCATCGGCGGTCCTGAAGGGAGGAAAACCTTTGTCTCACCTTTCGTAGGCCACTGACGTGGTTGTACAAAAGGTTACGGTTAGCCCTGAAGGTTTTCGCCGTGTTCTGCCGATCTGCGGCATTGCCTTCTATCAGCAGCTGAACGGAATGTTTACGTTGCGCTATGTATTTTCCCCAAATTTCTAGTGTTGGAGCTACTCCATACACCCGCCACGTTGCACTGCGTACTAACATCCATTTCCGAGTTCTGCTCCTAACGGAAGAAACTGTTTTAGACTTATTGTAGGCTCTTATTTCTGACGCAGCTGCAACCAGCCGACTGAATTCCTTGAGGAAATAAAGTCAGGGGACTTCCGGAGGTTCTTCGGCAAGGAACGACCAGACTGTGTCGCTGACGAGCTGGGCTAATCGATCATAGCGTGTGATGGTTCGCACAATCTCAGTCCTCATTCCGAAATTCCGCATATCTAATGAATGCATGACCACTACGTCTCAACGGGCAGTCTACAAGCAACACATTAATCATATGCTCTTCGTTGGTAAGCACACAATCCAGCACAGATGGCCTGTTACCAGTTCTGAACAGAGTAGGAAAAATGATGTAATTGTAAAGCGGAACAGTAGTTACGAGCTCCTATAGATCGGCTTTGAATTGTTCTCCGATCGTGGCAGTGGTTTCTAACCAATGTGCATTGAAATCATCCGTGATGAGGATGTGTGTATCATCCTTTTATAGGGGTTAAAGCAGCCGCAATGTGGCAGTCGGTCACAGGTGTAGGGTTGAGGGCAATACGGCAAGCGTCTCAGACTTTTAACTGCGGGCGGCACCAAAGAGAATCGGGGTCATAGAGTTGCGTACCTTGCTTTCGCGGCACCCGATGCAGCACCGCAGTGTAACACAGGACAGGTAGCAGGGCCCTGTAGGGACTTAGGAATGTAAACTGGGCTACCTTTGCTATACTCTTGCGAAAAACGATCTTTGCTTTCTCATGAGATTCACCGGTTGCAGTAGACGAAACTTCCAAAAATATTCGACACTGTCTTCATATCATTGCTCCATTCGTACTGAGATCCGATAGATTTTTATAAAAACTACGCGCGAAGCATGCATACTGGGTGAGCTGAAAATACTTCGCTTAAATATAAGACATACTCGCGACTTCTCCTTGCTTAGCAGACAGGATAATCTCTTTGACCAGTTGTGGTCGGTTTGTGACATAAGGTTGCTAGCAGAGGAAAAGCGGGAATTAGCACATGACAATAAATATAAAGTCTTGGTCGTTACTGAAGGCCAGAAACGACAGTCAAACGTAATCGGTATCATGCATCGTACTACCTGACGGATGCATGACCAGGGACCTAAATATAATAGGGAACGTCAAGAATTGATACTTTACCACTTCGTCTACTATCTCAAGCAGCACACGTAGGCTTAGCGCTATTGTTGATGTTAGCAAACTGAGCACAGTGAAAGTTAATTGCGGCGTCATTCAAGCTCAAATTGATCGGCCACGGTCTTCATCTCATCATGTACCTGATGGTCACCCAACTTTTATGATAAAGTGTGGTGGCCGGGATATATCACGTACACTCTTAAACCTGTGCGTTCTACCCATGGATTCGGGAATATTCCCGAATCAACTGAAAGTATCTATTATAGAGCCTAGACAAGAATGGCTCAAAACGAGACAATGAAAATCACCGCCCACTTAGCCACACACCGATTATTTTGCGAATAATCGAGTTGCAAAAGAGATGGTTATGCCTTTGCTGTCAATGAATTTGATAAACTCAGCTCAACCTGAGTTTTTACAAAGACGCTCATGTCATATTTGTCAGCTAGCTTTCCTACACAATCTGATAAGCTCCAATGACAATGGCAATGCGGTCATCATTCTATTTATTGGTATATGGTAGGTCCTCGACAAAGTAACGCAAAACAGCTTTTTGGAGAAGTTAACAAAGTGCAGGATCAGTGATCCCTTGCACATATAATTCAAAAACATACCTCTGACCACAAGCAACAGATCCAAAGAGGGCATACTAAATCTTCAACGTAGTGTGTTAGGTCCATTGCTCTTCCTAATGTATATCAAGAATATAACTGAAAAAATAAAATTTGGGACACGCTATAGCTTTACGAACGATATAAAATACTATACACCTTCGATATCCGGTGTTTGAGCGATATTCTACAAAACGTTCGAATAGATTTGCTGGCCATGGGATCGTGGTTCACAGATTGGCAAATGTCCTTCTCAGAGGACAAATAGTATGTTAACATGAAAGTGTGAACTTTCGTCAAATGCACTTTACCCTAGTGGTAAACTCATCCCCTTTAATAATACTACACGTGATCTAGACATCCGGTATACTAGCACTGAATTTTGGAGAGTAGGTTGAAATCATAACGGCGAGACCACGAAGAAGTGAAAAACTCGTCTTGAAGTTATTCTCGATGCGTGAACCTAAACTGAACTAGTTCAAGGTCTGCATTCGCCCTGCGCTCGAGTACTGCTCGATTAATTTTACAAGCGACAGGAAACGCGATCGCATGTGCTTAGGAAACGTGCACCGATGACTCACAAAGACCCTCTTTAGCTCACCGTCCAAACTTAACTAGTCCGAGCGTTATAAGATGCCACTGTGGTTAAGATGCATGCAGCTAGGATTCACATTCCCATTTGATTTGATCCATAAGCGCGTTCTCGCGCCAAATATCAATATTCACTACAAAAAAAATCTAGTTAGAGAATTAGAAATACTAAGAACAAAATCCCGGTGTTCAAAACGAAAACGAATGTTCGAAGCAAACTCTATCTTAACAGATACAATGAGATCTGGAACAGCCTCACTACAAAAGGCAACCGGTTTCAAACTGCTCTACAGTGCAATACGTAAAAATAATGTTAATAGTAAGTTGTAATGAGAAACTTCTATTTGAGTCGGGGACCGAGACATAAGAGTGCTGATTACAAATATGCAAGTAATGTGCCACGTACAGCGTATTGACTTGGTCAAACCTTTTGAAGAGATGCAATGAAAAAAAAGTTGACAGAAACCCCTTCAGTCTTCTTTACCCGACCTTCTTTTCTTCTTTATTCAAGAAAGCATACCTCACAGACACACCAACAAGTGTGGACTGCAGAGGAATGGCAAAATGAGATTAAGCTAACCATTTTTCTCTCCACTCGTCATATTCCGCTTAGTTAGTCACGTCAAAAAGTGTGAGCTGAGAAGGAAGCGCTGATTGAATCAATCCATCTTCATTCACTTTTACCATTGGTTCTACTCTGCTACGCTTCCGTTGTTGCCTTCAGGTAGACATGTCAGGCAGTAAGGTGAAGCTAACCGATTCTGATTCTAACATATTCATTCGTAATTCCAATAATTCGCTTTAATTTTTCCGCCTATTAGCTTACGCATAGCGTACAGTCAAACCAAAACGCCTGAGCCAGTTGACCAATGCCAACAACGTCCGCCTCCCACACAACAACTAAATCTTCCTTTCTATCTGATTCCGTGTTCCGTGCACAGCTGCGGAACTGAAAGTCCATAAATACCTCAATCTTTCGCTACTCCTTTTCACAACGCAATAATGCATGGAAAGTTTGTAGCCTAGCTTAGTTGCTATGTTCTATAAGTATGATTGCACCTCTTATCATCACACAATTATTTCTCACTCAAGAAAAAGAAAATTTAATCCTGTCCGTACACGGAGCTCTCCGTTAGGACGCCATGAATTATTCTGTGCCCATTCGAGGCTCTGAACTGGACAACCATGGATGTCAAAAAATATGAATCTTATTTGTGCCTAACATTTGGAATTTGCTGTAAATATTATATAACATAATTGAAAAATTTGATCATGTCGAAAAGGGGCAGCTTCGTAAACACGAGAATATATGTTAATACTATTAGTTGGACAGAATGTAAAACAGGATGTTTACCTATGGCCCAGCGTAAGTCTCTCCGCGTCACCCAACCAACCAGGTGGGGGGAATGCTGAGAAACGACAACCGGAAATCCCTTGACAGTTGAATTGGCCAACAAGGTTTCCAGATCACCCATGGTCATTCCGTCCCGTATAAGCGCGAAAAGAGGAGCGTGCGGGTCGCTGTAACAACAGAATGCAGTGTGATTTGAAGAAGGTACAAGATCGGTACAATGAACAAGGCAAGCGATAAAACACAGTTGAAAGAAATTTGTGAAGAATAATGTGAAGATAGGTATTGAATAGCAAATGAAACACAGCAGCTGTTAAAAAATGTGCAGTAGTACAGTGCCCATGAAGTAGACTGATAGACCACCGGAGATGCGCGACAGGTACTTTAAAAGGGTAAAAAAGTGACTTCTCGATAAAGCGACACTTAGAGAGGTATGATCAGGGTCCGCGGTTAAGCTATAGAAGCATCAGAGGTAACAATGGTTCACATGACAGGAAAAAACTGAACGAGAGTCGATGTACCGCGATGTACCGTTGCAGCCGAAAGGAAAAGATCTACTTATAACAGACGGAGGAAAAGCTCGAAAACAGCTATGCGATAAATTAGCGTTCAGTGATCTAACGACGATAGAATGTTTCGCAGCGTGGGGTTTTTAACAAAGCAACAGAACAGGATTGCTTCTAATTACACCAATACCGTAGGGGGTTAATATACAATGGTGGAATATATGACCAAGAGAATCACCAATCTGTATTATTGAGTAATTACACATTTGATTACAGGAAGGCATTCAGGACTGATGGTAAAAGTTGATGGTCAATTAACTACATTACGGAAAAGGAATAAAACATGGAATATTATTGCCCCACCTTGGTTGCATAATATCCGCTGCAATCCACATGTGTTCCAGTTCATCCTGTCCACCGAGAAACGGATAACCATTCAAACGAATGTGCTCTTCGTAAATGCTGCCGTTTGTGAGCCTATCTCCTATCCACTTGCTTATCATGGTTGCTACCATAAGAGGGATAATGTAATTCAACCTAAAAGGCAATCAGACAAGATTGACCAATTGTCAAAGCACCGAGGAATTCATACCGGATTAGTTAGTAGTGAGTAGAAAGAGGCTAATCATGTATTAAATTGACAATAGGTTACGGTAACAGATGAGGCGTTACAGTGAGAAACATTTACCCCCCAGTCAACTCCAGCATCATCACAACGAGTGAAATCGTCATACGTGTGACGCCACCAAGAGCGGCAGCTGCGCCGACCATAGCATACAGACCGGGACTGATGCAAGGCTGCGAGGACTTGCACATTTTGGCCACGAAAGGATGGCTAGCGTTGGCAACGACCAGTTGTTCCACCGCAACGCCCAACATTCGCCCCATGATGGCCCCGATCTAGAGAAAGAGAAAAACGACAGTACAGTACAGGTAAAGTGCTCAATGACATGCGGCAAGATGAGAGTACGGGACCACGGGAGAATGTGTATTGAAAAATAAAGTGTGGATCCCAAATATGCGAAAAAGCGGGCCTAAAATGTAAGGGGCGGAGAGCTCCGAAGAGAGGTCGAATTGAGAACCTTGAAGAAGAAATGTCGATTCGAAATAATAAATAAGAAAGACGATGTCGAACTACGTTGTTCGTTGACGATGTTTTACGACTAATCCAAAGTGGACAGGAATGGGGTTTCGCAAATTGTATAAAATCCAATAGCACAAAGCTATACAGCAGACTATGCGTACAGGAAAGGTTATTTTGTTCTACCCAGAATCATCATTCCAAGGCTTACAAAGCGCGCAAACTAGTATACCAACGCCATATGATGGTTGATAGCATGGGTATAAGGTGACATTCGGAGATTCGTGCTGTGCACCATTGCGGAGGGACAGCACCGCTTTAAAACAACAAAGTCACTCTGTCCCATCTGCTGGCGCGATCTTACTGACATAACAGTAACATCCAATGTACTAAAATTGGTTGAATCTTGAAGTAACCCAATGCCAAGTCCAGCTGAGTGGCTACTCAGGTGTCGGACGCGATAGACTGTCAAATTACCACGATGGAGTAAAGATGACGCTGGATTAGCCAACGAAATTTGTTGGGATTTCATAGGGAAAAGATTCCGTGGTATTCGTAGCTACCGAGACAACCTGCACGAGAAGAGCATTCGCGGCATCCACAGCAGTAGTCGTTAGGCCACTGGCCGTCACGAGTGGTGATATTCCGGGCTTAACCTTTCTTTTGACATTCACAAATCTGTTTGGTGTTACCCGTAAATTTCAGAACCATGGTCTCCTGCCATTCGTACTTATCGACTCGAATGAGCGACGTGCAGTAGTTACTGATAGCTTTGTAATGCTGCGATGTGATACCACATTGGCTTAGCGAATGTTGTCTCCAGATCTCATCCCTTCTGTTGATCCATTTACGTGTTCTGCTTCGGATCCACATGGTGGTCCGGCGCAGTGCTCGTAATGGTACAACCTTCAATGCTGATTGTATGACCCAATTAATTTTGTCTTTCAGTGCATTCCATGTGTCACTCGCTGAACTGTGCGTTTATAGGTTCCAGTCAACGACTGCTGCTAAGTTGTGCAGCTTAAAATAGTCCGTACTAGTTCGTGGAGTCGCTCTTTCTTTATCAACAGTACTTGCATAATACACATAACCAAACGTTAGGACTGAATGGTCGCTACGGCCCAATGGAGGATCGTATGCTACTGACTCAATCATCAACTCTTCATTAGTCAGGATTAAGTCTAGGAGTGATGGCTTACTTGAACCGCGGTGTCTGGTTGGTCGATGCACATGGTTATACAAAACTGCCATATCCATGAATTCAAGAAGTTTCGATTTAAATGATGGCCAATTATGGGAGATTGGTGCTACTGAAGAAACATTAAAGTCGCTTAGAGAGAGTACTTTTGTGAAACAGCATAGCGGAGAATGTTTAACAGAATCTTAACGCTGTCTGCTGACGAGTTCGGAAGCCTATAGATAACGGCTAAGAGGCAAGCATCACTAGTCTTCTGTGAACCAACATCTCGATCTGCTAGGTACAGTCGGTAAAATAGTGTGTCGAGAATAATAAGGGAATTTTCGGTAGGGGCCTCACATTTCAAGTAATCTCGATAGTAGGGAGACACAAGGCCACCGCGAGATGGACGATCATTTCGAAAGACTGACAACTTACTGAGTTCAATCTCTGGATCAAGTATGTCGTTTGAAAGCCAAATTTCAGTAACTGCTATGAGGTCCCAAGTTGTTGTTTCATATCGATGGCGCAGTTCCGAGAGCTTAGAATACAACCCAAAAGTGTTGGTGTAGTAGCATTGTATTTGTTGACGCCTTAGGAGCTCGGTTCCCTGTGAGTGACCGGCACAAATAGTGCCGGTCTGCTGAAGTTTTTTGAAACGTTTTTTTGCACGGTTGGCTGATCTGATATAGGTAAAACTGAGGCTGGCTCATCTGTATCTGAGGTCTGTATTAATTGAAGGAATGGTCTTAACCGTACTTCTGGTGGTCCTAGTTTCCTGTTGTCATGTCATGCTTGGATTGCCAATGATACCATTTCAGGCGCAGCCAAGGTAACTCTCAAAATTCGTGGCCCGCTACGTCGGTAGTTTGTGGAGGCAATTAGACGGGTGACGTCAAAAGCCAAGACATTCTGCATGTCGTAGAGCTCTGCGATGTACATTCCTAGATATCGTGCTTCTATCGTTCACTGCTGTCGTCATGCCTCAATTCTGGAACACCATGAACCATTACCACTTTCTTCATCTCATACGGACGTGACGAACTAGGATTGGATTTCCGCTTCTGTCTTTCTGTACATGCCCCATCAGGAAAAATGTTGGCAATGACAGAAGAGTTCACTAGAATGTAGCTTGCTAACAGAACATCTTCCAGGTCGCGTGGGTTGTCAAACGTTGCAGCAACTGAGGTTCCCCTACGTGTGGAGATGATGGATTTCATGAAAGGCATGAAAGACTAGTTGGAAGAACTTTCAGTCCGAGTGCGGTTATTCCAGCCCAGCGGTTTTGCTCCTCGGCTTGTCTACCTTTTAGCGATTCGTTAGTAGGTTCTGGGGAGTTTGAACATATCATTGTCATCGCCTTTTGGTTGCGTATAAATTGTTTGTTCTGCAGTTCCTTTGGAGGGTAGGTTTGTCGAGTGGGAGTGTCTGACTTGTCTTCCGTGGACGATAAGCCAAGGCTACAGCAAGAATTTGTTACGTGCAACGTCGTTAGTTACACTATCTGTAGGAGTCAATTGTTGTTGACCAGCTACTGACGGAGGTGAGCATGCAATTTGTGTGTAACTCCGCATGCTTTGGCGCATTACGTGAGACTTGGGTGACGGTTCAACCGGCCTGTTTTCATTGTTTGCCTTTCGCTGGACTGTGTAGCATTGTTGCTAAAGCTTTCGCCTTTTAACAGGTCGGGGACTCGGGCTACGTAATGCAACTCGAGTTCTGAGATTTTCCCTCTCAAAACCGCGATCAGTTCCTTTTGGTCTGCCGACGTAACAGTCTACGTTTCACACCTTATCGTAAGCGTATGTACACTCGTAATCATCGGACTATCTGAACATAAGTCACAGAACCACAACCCATCTATCGGTATGTTGTTAGCTCCGTTACGTGTAATGTTCACATTTGTTGCGTCATAGGAATTGGCACAGAACGAACACGTGATTTTCGAGACGATCTCAGTTACACGCTTGTCCGAGCTGCGATTGACCTTGGGTTTGTTGTTCACTGGATTCTCGGTTGACAAACTTCGCCGGCCCATCGATCAATAGTCGGTAACTACTTTTAGGTTGCGCTGGTCACGCGGTTCGGGCTGCCTCAGTTGTGCTCCGGTCAGCGGGTTTGGTGGTGGTGCGTCAGTAGGCCCACGCATAGCCAAGATCACACAGGCTTTGTGCAGTGAAATGCACGTAAGATATATAGTGGTAACGTGAGATGACAAAAAATGCCTGTACCTATGGTATACAGTGGTGCATAGTACTGCTATATATTGTCTGACAGCCCTAAAGAAGCTCTGTCGAATGGTATCCCAAAGGTACTGATGAAACTCAACTAATCAAAGTTACTCACGTTGGGGTTAGTGGATAGACTTCCGAAGACTTAGTTTGTGGTGTACTAGCGTGTCGTCGGACTTACTTCAAAAATATAGAGCCCATTGGATAGAGCCCGGTGATAGGAGTCGGCTGAGCGTACTTCCGACGAGATGGCACAAGAATGTGAGGGGATAAGTCCAAGTTAACACAGAGCACAGGATTGCACGATTAGCACGCACACGCTGACAAGATCACTTGTTGGCGTTGATCCGACCAGATTTGAGGCGCAACTCGATTTCGTCTTTCTCACAGGAACGTGCCCCACTCGGTAGTTCCGAGCATTGTATCAGAAAAGTGTGCCTCGTCATTTATGGCAAAACTCACTTCGGTTGCTTGGTTAATAAGCTCATCAAAACTGGGAGGCGACGAAATTGTTCAGCATCAAATACTGCGAGACTCCAGAAAATGCTGGCTGATTTTACAATTTTCAAGAACGAAGATCTGTCTATTCAATGTGATCATTCCACTGACTATCTTGTCTTTCGCTTCGATCTACGCCGCCCAGTCGAAACTATCTACTTACGAGTTGACAGATTCTCCTCGCCATCAGTGAAACAAATTAGAAAGCAAAAAGAACGAGTCTACAAAGGTAAAACGACTGCCCGTGTCAAAGAACTCTCTAGCAATAAAAACAGATTGCACGAAAGAACAATTTATACATCTAAGGCGTTTTATGCAACCACAACTGCCGAAACCTGTAGAGAATCTTAAAGCAGTCATGCGGTAAAACCTCCAAGAAGTAGACTGGATCTGTGGATGTAGAGAAACTCAATTATGAGTTCTGCTCTTCTTCACAGGAAGCATCCGCCACCCCTTCTTTCTCTCTGCCTTTGTTCTCTGGCTCTAGTCGAACAATTACATTTCAACATGTTAAGATTAAGGTTGAAATCAGAAATCTGAATACAAGAAAAGTTGGTGAACCCGATGCACTTTCACCTGTTGTCTTAAAGTAGTGTGCCAATACCTTAACCATGCGCTTGATGAACCTTTTTAATCGGTGCCTTCGCGGTGGGATTATTTCAGATATTTGGAGACCTGTCAGGATAAAACCAGTGCCAAAGAGGTGTCCAAGAAATTCTGCTCAATCGCCAATACATCCGTCCTGTTGAAAGTGAACGAATACTTGTGTCTTGTATCTCAACAAGCACTCTGGCCGTGGATGTATCTCTGCGTACAGATCCTGACGTTCCACGTTGGATGCCGTCAAATAGTTTACACACTCTAGCATCTTCATTGGAAGCGAAATGCAAGAATGTGCTGCTCTTCTTCCTTA